AAGTGAAATATAGTCGAAAATGGTATTTACGACTTTTTTGGTCATTTTGATTTTTTGTTTTTCAAATAGTTAGGTACTCCACCGTTCGACAGAAAAGTTAAATATAGTCAAAAAAGTTAACTACGATCAAAATTCTTTCTTTACTTTGAATCTGCGACTCCAATTTTTGATAGAAAAAGCGAAATATAGACGAAAATTTTTTCTTCGACTTTTTCGTCTTTTTTCTTGTTTTTGTTTTTTTTTTCAGACTGTGACTCCTATGGTTGATAGAACAAGTGAAATATAGTCAAAAATGTTTTCTACGACTTCTTCAGTTTTTATGTTTTCTTTTTTCAAACCGCGACTCCAATATTTGATAGAAAAGGTGAAATATAGTCGAAAATGTTATCCACGTTGATTATTATGTTTTTATTTTTCAAACAGTGACTGCACAGTTTGACAGAAAAGGGAAATATAGTACCTATACGACTTATTTTTTTTTGTTTATTTTTGAACTGTGACTCTAATTTCTGATAGAAAAAGTGAAATATAGTCGAAAATGTTATCTACGACTTTTTCGGTTTTTTGATTATTTTGATACTGTGACTCCAATTTTTGATAGAAAAAGTGAAATATAGTCCAAAATGTTTTGGTTATTATCTTTTATTCAAACAGTGACCACCGTTTGACAGAAAAGTGAAATACAGTCTACGACTTTTAATTTTTTTTTGTTTATTTTGAAAGTGTGACTCCAATTTCTGATAGAAAAAGTGGAATATAGTCAAAAATGTTATCTACGACTTTTCCGGTTTTTTGTTTATTTTGATACTGTGACTACAATTTTTGATAGAAAAAGTGAAATATAGTCGAAAATGTTATCTACGACTTTTTCGGTTTTTATGTTTTTTTTTTAAACTGTGATTACAACGCTTGATAGAAGAAGTGAAATATAGAAGAAAATGTTATCGACGACTTTTTTGGTATTTTTTCTTGTTTTTGTTTTTTTTTCAGACTGTGACTCCTATGTTTGATAGAACAAGTGAAATATAGTCAAAAATGTTTTCTACGACTTCTTCAGTTTTTATGTTTCCTTTTTTCAAACCGCGATTCCAATATTTTATAGAAAAAGTGAAATATATTCGAAAATGTTATCCACGACTTTTTTGATTATTATGTTTTTTTTTTTCAAACAGTGACTGCACAGTTTGACAGAAAAGTGAAATATAGTCTACGACTTATGTTTTTTTGTTTATTTTGAAACTGTGACTCCAATTTCTGATAGAAAAAGTGAAATATAGTCGAAAATGTTATCTACGACATTTTCGGTATTTATGTTTTTTTTTTTCAAACAGTGACTCCACCGACAGTAAAATAAATATAGTCATTATCTCTACGACCCATTATTTTTTTTTGTGTAGTTTGAAACCGTGACTCCAATTTTTGATAGAAAAGGTGAAATATAGTCCAAAATTTTTTGGTTATTATCTTTTTTTTTTAAACAGTGACCACCGTTTGACAGAAAAGTGAAAAACAGTCTACGACTTTCAATTTTTTTGTTTATTTTGAAAGTGTGACTCCAATTTCTGATAGAAAAAGTGGAATATAGTCGAAAATGTTATCTACGACTTTTCCTGTTTTTTGTTTATTTTGATACTGTGACTACAATTTTTGATAGAAAAAGTGAAATATAGTCGAAAATGTTATCTACGACTTTTTCGGTTTTTATGTTTTTTTTTTTAATCTGTGATCACAACGCTTGATAGAATAAGTGAAATATAGTAGAAAATGTTATCGACGAATTTTTTGGTATTTTTTTTTTAAACAGTGACTTCAGCGTTCGACAGTAAATTGAACTATAGTCATAGTCGAAAATGTTATCTACGACTTTTTCGTTTTTTTTTTAGGTTTATTTTAAACTTTGTTTCCAATTTTTGATAGAAGAAAGTGAAATACAGGGTTGCCCGAGCGTTAGTTTGCAGCTCGATAAGATGCTATTATTTCTACTAATCCACCTGCAAACTGGATAACTTCTAATACACGGGCCACGTGAATCATCCTGTATAATCGAAAATGTTATCTACAATTTTCTCTTTTTTTGTGTTTTTTTTTTAAAACTTGCACTCCAAGGTTTGATAGAACAAGTGAAATATAGTCGAAAATAAGGATTGAATGTGGTCAGTTTTTTGAGCGGATGATTGTTTTTTTGTTCAAACCCATAGTCGAAAATGTTTTCTAGGACTTATTCGGTTTTTATGTGTTTTTTTTAACTGTTAGTCCAATGTTTGTTACAAAAAGTGAAATATAGTCATATCTACGACTTTTTTGATTTTTTTTTTTTGGTTTCAAACAGTGACTCTACCGTTCGACAGAAGAGGTGAAATAGGTATAGCCGAGAATTTTTTCTACGAACTTTGAGGTTTTAATATTTTTTTTCTAAACCTGCGACGCCAAGGTTCGACGAAAAAAAATGAAATATAGTGAAAAATGTTAACTACGACTTTTAAAAAAAAATCTGTTTATTCTGAAACTGTGACTCCAATGTGCATATGGAACATACTAACTCATATTCGCATTTATAATATTAGTTAGGATCAGGATATGCATAGCCATCTTGATTCTATTTATTTTAATGACGTGGGGTTTGCTGGGTTCACCTTTGCATGTTTCATCCTTACAAGAAAACTCTTCAAACATGAGCTTAACATTTGTTTTAAAGGTACGGAGCTGCAGGATACAGAAAAGATTCAGAGAGAAAAATCTAGAAGAAGAAGTACAAGAATTTGTAACTCATTTCTATCACCCGTTCCAGAACAAATTTGTTATAGCAGGAGCGTAAGTAAATAGCTATTTATGCAACAAGTGTGCAAAGTGAACTACTACCAATAAAATATGTGTAAAAATATAAATTTAGATAAATATTTTACTAGTGCGTAAAGTATTTTCACTTTACGTACTAGTGCGTAAAGTAATTAATCAGAAAAATACTACATTGACAGTGTCGGCATCTGTCAATGACATTACTTTACGCACTAGTGAATGAAGATATTTATTTCACGCACCAGTGTGAAAAAGTAGAACTTTACGCACGGTAGTAGAAAAAATATATTTTTTTCGTATCATGTATTATATCCTTGGAAAAATACGTTATCACATTGCTTTTTGATGACTCTAACCTATGCTATGCTGTAAGGTGTGCGATAGAGTCTCCGATAATAACCACAACAATGCAAAAAGTGATATTTTGCAATTTTTTTTAAAATCTGTCTATACGAAACTTGTCAGTAGTATATTGAAAAAGTTCAAGCGTAGTTTATAGTGACTCCCACATAATACTGAAATAAAATTTATCTTATAAGAACATGTGGCAGAAAAAAGAAGACTTTAAGGCACAATTATTTGGTACTCACACAAACTATCGGAATTTAGAAAAAAATGCGGGCAGACTTAGAAATCTAATACAAAGCGTTTTTGATCAAAATAATACTTTCCAATATTTTCTTTTTACTGGGGTAGGATCGAAATAACACATGGCTGCTTTTTTAAATTATAGACGTTTCCCGAAATTTATTTTCATCGTCGACACTAGAAAAAATAGTAAAAACTGACATAAATACAGGTTCCTACGATTATGATGAAATTTACTACTGCCAACATAACAAATAATGAAATTATTCTCACTTAAATGTTGACATACCTTGTCATAATTTTAATAGTGCGGATTTTTTTTATACAAGGTTTCGTTCTTTATTTGTAGTGTCCTGAGGATGCAAATAAATTTAGCGGGACCTTGACATTTTTAGAAAACAGACACTTGTTTGTTTCTTTTCCGATTCTTCCCCAATAGAACTTCCTGGCCCTTGGAGTTTCGAGTTAGCGAAATTTCACAGTATGTTTAGTGTCTTTCCATAGGGTGTCAAAAACAGTGTAACAAACTTTGTCAGGTGTCAATTTTAAGATAGGACTTCCCAATTACCATACATATGCTTCGTATCCAAAATACAGGGTCAAACATTTAAATTTTCAATAGTATCAAGAATTTTTAACAAAAAATTTCTCCAAATTATTATACTCACACATTTCAAATTTTCTAAACGTCATTCAAAGAATCACTTCACGATTTTTTTTTCAAACCCTATATAGAGGCTGCACAAGTTTGTAAATACTATCATCCCAGAATCAGAGAATATTTGGGCAGCATATAGCACTAAATCTCATTCCAAATTTTGTTCAATAGGAGAACTGCAGGGTTTGATGGTTAAGTTGGTTTTAGCCTTCAACGAAGTCCCACATATTTTCTGATTTGGGAATGACGGAAGAAACTTTTAAATATAGTAATCATGAATTGAAATGCTTGAATGTTTTATATTATCAATTATTTTTAGAATTCAACGACAATAAATACCACATCCCCGGGTCTTAGCACGCACAATATTAATGGTTCTAATACCTCAGATTCCCTATGTTCAATTTCTCTTGATACTGATGATTCAGTCAAGGATCCCAATTTTGAACCAGAAAGTAGTGGTCAGTCTTGTGAGGTAAGAATAATCAGATTAAGGAGGCGTTAAAGACCTTGAAATCTGTCAGTTATGTGCTCTGATTGGTTGATTTTTAAAATTCGTCTGGAAAGAGAAAAAATACCTTACATCAGAATTGGCTTAAATTTGGCATAAACATTCTTTGATCGATTACCTACAATACCAATGTTTCAGTTTTTCTCAAAATAAAAAATAATATAATATGTGTAATCTGGTTGTTTTTTTTCCAAGAATTAGGGCGTTACGCAAATAAAAAAATTTGGAAAAACCAAAATATTGGTATTGTAAATAATCCATCAATTATGTTCAAATTTTAGCCAATTCTGATGTGATTTTTTTCTCTTTGCAGACGAATTTGAAAGAATCGACCAATCAGAGGACCGAACTGACACATTTGATATCAGTTCTGTCATTAACGCCCGTTAAAAATGTATTTGAGAAATGACAGACAATTTTTCTGCTATCTAGGAAATTCCATCATTAATGGAACTAAGTTTCGAAATTGGGAATGAAACTGACAAGTTCATACAAAATATTGAAGACGACTTGTTTAATGATGAACTAGGACCAGAAAATCTGAGAGAAAACTGTTTGGATGAAAATTCAGCCGACTTGCTTAATGATGAAGTAGGACCAGAAAATCTAACAGAAAGCTGTTTGGATGAAAACTCAGCCTTGGATAATTGTCATAAAAATTCAGCCATTCAAAAACTTCCAGCCTCGGAAAAAGGTGCCGTTAAAAAATCTGCAACTTCAGGAGATAATAAAAATCGAGGTGGTACAGAATCTAAATCATCAGACTTTTGTTTTTTTTGCGAAATGTTAGTAACTAATTTTGCAAGGCATATTGAAAGAAACCACATGTCAGAAATAGAAGTACAGAAAATTTTTTCGAAACAAGCGAAATCTATCGAAAGACGAGCTTTAATTGCAAGTCTTCGAAAAAAAGGAAATTTTTTAAAAAGCGGACAAACATGTTTCAAGCCAATGAAAAAAACCCGATTTCAAAATGACAACTATGTACCTTGCCCATATTGCTTGGGATATTATGTTCCAAAACAGTTATGGCGACACAAAAGAAAGTGCATTGAACGTCCAAGCACATCCGATACTGTGAATAGAAGCAAACTGTTGTTGTTCAGACATGTAAAGACATTCCCAGAATTGAGGGATAAGGTGTTTCCAAAAATGCGAAATGATAAGATAACAATGGCAGCACAAAAAGACGTTTTGATTTGTGCATATGCGGCGCGCTATCTTAAATCTCACAGAGATGAACGTTTCACAAACGTAATTTCAAGAAAAATGCGTGATTTAGCTAGATTGATTCAAGAAGTAAAACGAATGGACAGCACTATATCCAATTTTTTCGACATGCTAGATCCCCTACATTATGATACCATAGTAGAAGCTACAAAAACTGTAGCTAAATATGATAATCAAAATGAATCTTATGCTAGTCCAACATATGCTTTAAATATGGGTACTACTCTGAAGCAATGTTGCGATGTTGCACTTGACTTTGCTTTAAAAAAAAAAGAAATTTACTCAACAATCCCGGCAGAAGTGGCTAGAAGTAATTTGCAGATTTTACAGCAATTGATTTCATCCAATTGGAAATATGACATAGCCTCAGAAGCCTCAAAAAATTTAAACGTAAAAAAATGGAATAAGATTACAATAGTTCCTTTAGCCAGTGACTTGAAGATATTAAAATTATATCTTACTAACGTAGCAGAAAAATCAAAATTGGATTTGGAAAAAAATAATAACGATGAGAAGGCTTACAAAGATCTATTAGAGACGGTTTACTGCAGAGTTATTTTGTTAAATCGTAAGAGACCTGGTGAACTTCAGAGATTAAACATTTCTACTTATACGGAATCGGGTAACTCGCAGAATTATGAAGAGTTTGATCATGCAATATCACCTACAGAAAAAATTCTACTGAAAAGCTTCAAGCGAGTTGTTATCCAAGGTAAAAGAGACAGGGGTGTTCCAGTGCTATTCAGTCTCGATGTACAGGCAGATATTGAAATGCTTTTTAAATACAGACATTATTTTGTATCAGCTACTAATAAATATTTGTTTTGTCAAATTAAAAATGAGGGGCATATATACGGTTACAAAGTGCTTCAAAAGCACGCCAATCTCAGCGGATGCAAAAATCCTGATGCACTTACATCAACACGCCTCAGAAAACATTTAGCTACTTTATCACAAATATTTAATATGACTGATAATGATCTAGAGCAACTAGCCACATTTATGGGACACACAACTGGCATACACCGAAAATCTTATCGGCTTCCTGATGATGTTTATCAGACCGCCAAAATTTCGAAACTTTTGCTTTTAATGGAAAATGGATCATCTGTCGATTACAAAGGAAAATCACTTGATGAAATAGAAGTTGATTTGGAAGCAGGTTTGGAGCAGGAAATACCAGATGTTGACCCTGAAGAAGACGACCTCTTTCGTTCACAGCAGGAAATAATGCCTTCTACAAGCTCCATCACACATACAGGAGATAAAGAAGATAAGAGCGAAAATGAATTATCATTACTGGATCAGAAATATAAGAAAAAAGCAACAGCTAACAAAAAACAGAAAATAAAAATTGCAAGGACTCCATGGACAGATGAGCAAAAAAAAGTTGTGACAAATTATTTCGAATTACATATTAAAGAAAAAAAAGCCCCAAAACAAGCTGAATGTGAAACACTAATTTCAATGAATCATGATCTTCTAAAAAATAAAAATTGGTTGAAAATTAAGGTATTTATACAAAACATTTATGAAAAAAAATACAAAAAGAATAAATAATTTTTTTTTTAAATCTTATGCTTTAGAAAAGAATGATGTTTTTGTTTTATAAAGTTTTATTTGTGGAAAAATAAGGTATTTATACAGATTTATACATTTTTGAAAAAAAGAAATACAAAAAGAATAAATAAAAAAAATTTAAAACCTTATGCTTCAGAAAAGAATTGTTTTTGTTTTATGAAATTTTCTTTGTGGAAAAATTTTATTTATTATTTTTTGTTCTTATATTAGTAGTTATATTATTTCCACGTGCTATTTTTTTCACCTATTAGGTCTATGCTTGTAGTTTTCCTAATTAATAAATGAATCAAAATATTTATTTTTTTATTTTAAATCATAATAAATACATTTATTTTCTACTTGACTATTATTGATCCATAATACCTTGGAAACAAAATACGTTAATCTACCTGTAACACCCGCTCATAATTCCCGTGGGCGTTATGATCTATAACGCCCTTCTACACTGAAAAAAAAAACGGGCAATTGAACTGGTGTATCACGAACCAAATTTTTTTTCTAAAAAAAATGAATTATATTCAATTAAACTTATTTACTTATAGCTAGAAAACAGTTCCAGAAATGTTAGTTTGAATGGTGCAATCAAAAAGTGATCCTGTCACATAGTTGTCACCTTTTTATTTTTCAGAATGAAAATTTGATTCGGTTTTAGTAAAATTTTCTTTCAGTGTGAACGCTCATAATTCCCTGCCGTTGTTATGGGTACCTATATCAATACAATTATTAAATGAGGGATGTTCGAAAAAAGTGTAGAAGGTAATTGATACAAAATTTATGAAAAAACATTATATTCAGTAGAAAATAAAGCATTGTATGCACCACGGGCATTTTCCGATTATAATGCCCATCAGGCGAAAATGGTTTCGCCTTCCGTGCATTAAATTTGAACCCAGGACCCTGGCATATCCAGTGCAATGCTCTACCAACTGAGCTACCGAGGCCTGTTTCATTTCTACCTTGTCGGTCAAGTCTTTATTCAATTTTAAGATTTTAGTGGTGAAGACCAAAGGCAACCTTCGGCGGTTACTGTAAAATTATCTAACAGACGATAAAACTAGAAAAATTGTAAAATTGTTTTGGCTTAATATTCTTGGTTGGGGTCTCATCCCGATACCCTACTAATGTCGCTATATGTCGAAGATGCATCTGTGGTTGATGGAATAAACGGATTCCATCAGCGATTAATAGTGAATGTGTTACCTTAATCCTCTCCCATACCTAGAGTAACCACCGAAGGATGCCGTTGGTCTTCACCCCTAACAACTTAAAATTGATGAAATACTTGACCGACACGGTAGAAATGAAACGGATCCCAACTAATATTAAAAATGCGAATGTGAGTTTGTTTGTTTGTTGCGTAAACTACTCAGCCTCGATATACTCAAACGATCATCATGAAATTTTGTACACATATATTCAAGAGTATAGTAAAGATGCCGTTGGTCTTCACCGCTAACAACTTAAAATTGACGAAATACTTGACCGACAAGGTAGAAATGAAACAGATCCCAACTAATATTATAAATGCGAATGTGAGTTTGTTTGTTTGTTTGTTGCGTAAACTACTCAACCTCGATGTACTCAAACGATCATCATGAAATTTTGTACACATATATTCAAGAATATAGTAAAGAACATAGGACATTTTTTATAAAAAAATTATTGTTTATGAATGGTAAAAAAATTGGTGTTGCCAACAAAGAGTTTGAGCAAGTTGAATAAAATTCGACGCCATTAAATTTGTTGTTCCATTTGAATGACTTTTTTGGTTTCAATGTTTTTTTCTCAAACTGTGACTCCAATGTTCGATGGAAAAAGTGAAATATAGTCGAAAATGTTATCTACGACCTTTAATTTTTTTTTTGTTCATTTTGAAACTGTGATTCTAATTTTTGATAGAATAAGTGGAGTATAGTGGAAAATGTTATCTACGACTTTTTCGGTTTTCAAATATCTTATTTTTTCACTTTTGTTATGTAAGACTTTTCCGGTTTTTATGAGTTCTTTTTTTTCAAACAGTGACCGTTCGACAGAAAAGGTGGAATAGGTATAGTCGAAAATGTTATCTACGAGTTTTTTGGTTTCAATGGTTTTTTCTCGAACTGTGAATCCAATGTTCGATGGAAAAAGCAGAATATAGTCAAAATGCTATCTACGACTTTTAAACATTTATTTGTTTATTCTGAGACTGTGAGTCCGATGTTTGATAGAAAAAGTGGAATATAGTCGAAAATGTTATCTACGATTTTTTCGGTTTTCAAATATATAATTTTTTTATCGGTTATAAGGACAGCAATGCGAAGCCGCGGGTGAAAGCTAGTACATAATATAAAATGAAATGGCTCCAAACTAAAGAATTACAAAATAAAAAATGTGATCTTTTTTTATTCTTGAATAATCTAAGGACATTTACCTACACATTAAATATCATTAAAAAAATTAAAAAAATAATCTTCTACTTATATAACTTGGATTTTTTCTGTAGGCAAAAGTCTGTCAAGAGGACAATTTGTGTTCTAGTATTGTATTGTTGATCCAATTTCCTGTTCAAAGGAAATCTTATTTTTGAAGAAAAACATGACATTTAAAAAGATGATTTAAATTCACCCCTGCAGCTTTCAATAAATCTCAAGACTTTTCCTGTAACTATTACAAAAACTCTTTGTGTATTACTTTCACTACCCAAAAGACATAGTTTAAAATAGTTTTTAAATTGCCGTGATATATTATTCTTAAGCTCTTCATGTTCATCTACCTTCCCAAGACACTACCGTCTCGACTAGAATATGGGCTGGAATACAAAATCCAAACAAGAGTTGCAAAATTTCACTATTCAGAATATTATAAATCTGGCAACATCGCTGGATGCACAATTGATAGAGCTATGTGAAAATATATACGCAGGAGGCAAAATTGAATGCGAAGTATACAGATGTAGAATTGATAGCAAATATATCAGGAAACGTATATCCGAAAATCAAAGTTAAGGAGATCCCATTACGCGCGCTATATTTAGAATTATATGATGTTTCATATACACCACCTATAATTAGAAAATAACGCCTCCTTCCACATGATGCGGAATTACACCTTTTTGTATGGAAGCAGAATTGATAGGTGGATGTATATATATATATATATATATATATATATATATATATATATATATATATATATATATATATATATATATATATATAATTTTGGGAATCGATTTGGGGAATGCAGCAAAATATGTATATATATATCTGCCTGCATTGTTTCCGAGCAATGCATTAATATGGAGTACTTCCCGTTGATCCAATGCGCAATAACTATTATCGTAATCATTTTGCACTCTAACCCGTTTTTTTGAAGGCCCTGGCTGCTCCTCTGCTAACATTTTGAATGATACTAACCATTAATCCCGAAGGGTACTCACTGAACTTGCCACCCCGACGACTGTCGTATATTTCAGTCGTTCGTTGGCGTGGCACGGATATATGTGGCCGACTGATTATTCAGTCAGTCGTCTGTAGGGCAAATTGATTTTTTAAATTTTTCTGAAATATACGACGTTAATCAATGGAGCATGAATAACTCGAAGTCACATATATCGGACAGCCGTGTGTGTGCCAAATTTGTATGTGGCAGATATACCGGTCAGCCCTACTGAAAGAATTTTAATTCATTTACAAAAGGGGTTACAGCGTTTCAAATTATTCAAGATGAAATGACACAGAAATCACTTTCTCACAAGATTTCCATTCCTGTATTTTCTATGAGTTTTTTGCTTATACATATTATTTTACATGAAACCGACCATTTTACCACTATACGCAAGGAAAACATAGTATAACGACGCATTCATTCTCATACCACCTCAGGAATAGGCTGCAAGGCGCGTATTTTTTCCTCAGTAGGCCTAATCCATGATTTTGCTTATTTTTAGTGACCCCTCTTCAATATCTTCGTCGTCTGCCATCTCCTCCAAGTTTCGTCTTTTGTTCCCTACTCCAGGTTTCCGTCAAATATCGTTTTTTTCTCTTCTGTCCCGGGTTTATTTTCGCTCCCAAAATTTTCTTTTCCTTCTGTTGTGTTTTGTCTCAAGAGGTCAGCGGAACATTTTATTCTTCATCTTGAATATTTTTTACGGTCGCGCCATCGACATTTGCGTTGAGACATGATTGACCATGACAAAAGCCACAAACTATCGAACAGGACAGTTCAACTTTTCTGCACTTTGTGTTACACCCTTTAATGAAGTTAATAAGTACAATCTCGTGCTGGTGCAGGTGGCAATAAAGTCTTAATGGGCTGCAAAACATTATTATCCATCGTCCATTTCCATTGTTCAGGATTTGAATCATTACCAACTTGATAATACACTCAACTTAGATATTGGCGTCCGACTCACTACGGTAGTGGGTGGAAGTGATAACAATATTTCAATGGGGTGTAAAATCTTGTTGACGTTTATCGTTTTTAATGGATAGTTTTGATTTAGGAGCAATTTAATAGTTTTGTCGTCATTTTCTGTGTTATTTAATGAATCGTCGGTTGTTGATTTATACAGGGTGTCCCACGGTGGATGGCGTATTAGACGTTTATGGAGAACTAAAAAGCGGATCATTTTGAAAATTTGGCAACCGGGATAAACGACCATGATCTACACTTTAAAAATATTTTTGACCATGCGGTGTTGCCGCTTCTACTCTAAACTAGTGGCAACATCACTATTTTAAATGGAACACCCCGTATTAAATTGCATATTTGGATTCTACGTAAAATTCTGAGCAGATTTCATGTGAAATACCCTATACATAAGTTCAACTGTTTTGGAAATATTGACAGTTGAAAATTGACTTTTTGCAACTTTGACAGGCTGTAGAACCGGAACGGTTAATTTTAGAGGAAAACCGATTTTACATTCCTATCTTAGATTTTTATAAACTATCATTTGACACCATCTTTGAATTAAATCCATGATTAAAAATTTCAGTTAAATTTAATCTCCGGTTAAGTTCAAAGTTGGTGTCAAATGATAGTTTATCAAAATCTAAGATAGGAATGTGAAATCGGTTTTCCTCTAAAATTAACCAATTAGGTTTCACAGTCTGACAAAGTTGCAAAAAGTCAATTTTCAACTGTCAATATTTCCAAAACAGTTGAACTTAGGTATAGGGTATATCACATGAAAGCTGCTCAGAATTTTACGTAGAATCCAAATATGCAATTTAATACGGGGTGTTCCATTTAAAATAGTGATGTTGCCACTAGTTTAGAGTAGAAGCGGCAACACCGCATGGTCAAAGATATTTTTAAAGTGTAGATCATGGTCGTTTATCCCGGTTGCCAAATTTTCAAAATGATCCGCTTTTTAGTTCTCCATAAACGTCTAATACGCCATCCACCGTGGGACACCCTGTATATCCTTTCTTGTGGAGAATTTCCTGTACTTTTTTTTTTGTAATAACGCAAGAAATTATTAAACGACTAACGAAATGAAAATCCTTAATCAAAAACCCAAGAGCGATATTGATTTATGGGACTTTTTAGACATTGATTCCTAAACCTACACAAATAGACCCTGAGATAGGGCCTGTTTAGTGGAGTAATTTTTTTTTGTCTGGCATTTTGAGGGATGAATATGGCTAGGTAGCTGATGTTTAAATGCCTGCCTCCTGTTCGAAATGTCCACAGAATGTTTTGCCGGAATACTCAATTTCGAACTGTGATTACCATCTGGCGATTTTTCAGCATTATTTTCACAACAAAACCTTTTATTCTCTCGATTGCCAGACAAAAAGTAAACGCGGAAAGTTCTTTTCTTTTCTCTTGGAAGTTGACAGCCATCTCCACTTTTTCAGCTATTGAAAACCATCTGGTATTTTCCATGGGTGAATTATTTATCAATGTCAATCTTTATTTAAAAGCCAGAAAATTTGAGATCATTAAAAAAAAATCTTCATGTAAACCATTTTTTTCTTCTGCAAATTTTCGAACGCGAGGCAGGCATTAAAATCGCCCATATTCTCATCAGCTTAGTAGCCACATCCAGCTCTCAAAATGCCAGACAAAAAAAAAATGACTCCACTAAACAGCCCCTATCTCATAGTCTCAAAGGTATAGGCAAAATTTAGGTTAGCTCTGATTTTTTTAGCAGATGCTGCTTTTTGCTGCCTAATATAATTATTCGATTATAGAAGGAAATGATTAACAAGCGAGACTCCCTGGAGTAATGCTTCACGTCAGTCCAAAGAAAGAAAGGAGAGAGGGTTTTTAATTGGTACGTGAACATTCGAAGGGCAGTACCCTAACCTGATCCCCTCCGCCAATAAATCAAAAGCCAAAAGATCAGCAACACCCTATCGATAGTGGCGAAAGTGCACAGAAAAAGCTTGTGGTGCGCTGAAAGTTGCTTAGGATTGATTCTCCTAGCTTCTGGAGCGCTTTGGAGTTTTTTGGTGTGTACAGGGCTCGTTGGAGAAGCTCTGGATTAACTATCTTTGCTGCTGGTTCGATGTGAATTGGGTTCGGACTCTCCTAGCATATTTGGCGCTTTAGATTCACTTTGGATTAATTTTCCTGGCTTCTACAGTGATCCGAAATCTAATTGGAATCTCCTGGCTAGGGTGCTGGAGAGTTGGTTTGGAATATTTTTCTTGGTTTCTGGGGCGGCGTGGAGTAGCTTTGGACACACAGTGCTTGTATGTACTGCATTTTGGAGTTGCTCAGGATTAATTTTCCTCGCTACTGGTACGCTGAGGGTTGGGTTCGGAGGACTCTCCTTGCATCTTGGGCGCTTTGGATTCTGTTTTCTGGTTTCTACAGCGATCTGGATTGGGATTGGAATCTCCGCGAATGTAGGGCATTGAAGAGTGGATCGGAAAATTCTTCCTGGCCTCTGGATCGATGTGTAGTAACTTTGGACTCTCTTTGCTTGTAGGGCATTTTGGAATCGCTCTGGATTGAGTCTTCCCGCTACTAGGACACTGTGGATTGGGTTTGGACTTGCCTGGTATATAAAATGCTGTAAAGTCACTTTGCAGTATTCCTCTGGAGCGCTATGGATTTGGAGTCTCCTGGCTTGAAAAGCGCTGATCAGATGCATTTTTGATTATTCCTCCTAGCTCATAGAGCACTGTGGAGTGGATTAGAATTCTCTTGGACAGTACGGCGCTGTTGTGCCCATAAAGATAAATTTTTCTGACTCCTGGAGCGCTGGCTTCTGGGTACTACGAAGTCGTTACGGATTCCAGTAGCTGAAAGGCAATGGATAGTGATGGAAGTGATGTACTTCTTTGCCAGAGTACCTTCTCTGGCTCGAATAAATATCAAAAACATAAAAAAATAAAAATCCTCGCAAAAATCTTTCTAAATAAATAAACTTAATTCATAACTCAGCAAGATTGTGAAAAAAAAAATACTAGAAACTCAACTAAAAACAACTGCTTAAATGTCCTTATTTTAAACTAAATACCTGTATAACAATAATAAAATGTAGGTATCCCTTATTTGGTTCTAATTATTTACTGAATAATAATATAATTTTATTAGGAACCACATATTATGGATACCTACATCCTATATACACTATAGTATTTGAGAAAATCACATTAAGTATTAAAAACAAGAGAGCTTCAAAATATAATAAAAAAAACTTGAAGTAAAGCTTTTACACGAAAATATGTTTGGGCACTATGTAAAATTCTGTCGAGCCCTGGGCTTGCTCAACCTCATAAGGTTCTCGATAATCTAATAACTGAACGTTCATAACATTTATGTCAGTTAAAGGACGAACTAAATATGAATTTAAATTTTCACAAAACAGTACAGTTTTTCATAATTTGGTAACAAAGAAAGGAATTTCGTCAAACAAAAAGATGGTAGTTTTTGCTCAACAGAAGCACAAATGAAAAATTATGGTCTATACATAAATCCATATCTTATAAATTTCGTAACAGTAACATCAAACTCTTTAGATATTCCCAATTCTTCTCTAATA